AGGCAGACTGACCAAAACATACTGTTGAGGGGAGCGAGGGGTGAGTCAGGAGAGGTCTGCTGCACCATGTGGGTTGCTCCCTGGCCGGCCGGGGATCAAACTCATGCTGCAGAGGTTGTGGATTGCTTCATAGTGTGGTGCTTAACCCCTTGCTCCACCAGGGAGGCCCCAGATCCATATATTTTTGTATATGATCAGATGAGGTGGTCCATAGAATATGTGTTCCTCTTATCATTATAGGTGGATGTAGGAAGAAAAGGCACACCTAGACATGTTCCTCCTAGCAGGAGGGGCTAGAAAATGCAGTTTTTGTGAACTGCTTTTCCCCCAAACTATTGAAGGGAAACTAGATTTAAAGTATCTCTTAGCTCTGCTCTGAGTGTGAAATGAGAGGGAAAAGGTCAGAGGAGGTTTGTATACCGTTTCAAGTGATGAGAAAAACTTGGTTCAGGAGGACTTGATTTATACGGTGTTGCTGTCAGGCTATTTAAGCACGCAGTCTGCATCCCCTATGAAGTAGTATCTGATGATTAGCTGCATGGGAAGTGAGCCGTGACTGTAGAAGCTTCTAAACAAGGAATACAAACCAGGTTTTAGTGAAAATACCATGGGCAATTTCCAGAATCTTCCAAAGGTTCTTTGAAAGGTCCGGTACTCATTTTATAATTATCATGTTTTTAATATTTGTTGAAAAAAAAACAACAACGCAGTTATCTTTAGGTAATGGTTAAGTATAGGTCTGTCAATCAGGAATTTGCCTCTACAGTGGATGACAGAATCCCAGTTATAACTGGCATAAGTCAAGTTGGGAACTTAGCAGCTTATTATATTGTATTTTAAAACTCCATACCTGGATTGAAGGACTGACATTATCACCAGAACACTGTATAACTGTCTCCTGTCTCCGCTGTCCTCTGTGATGACTCCCTTCTTGGGCAGGCTCTCTCTCCTGTAGTAGGAGAAACTGAAATAGCTTCAGTTTTGGGCACCTAATCCTTATAAGAAGACTGTCTCTCTATTGGTTCTGTTCCAGTAAAAGATGCAGAGAAAGCTCTGATTGGCCTGGATTGGGTCATGTGACTAGAGAAAGCAGTGGTCTGATTGGCCATGGCTTAGAGGCACATACTCATCCCTGGGCACTGAGCGTAGGATTAGAGAGGGGTTGCCTGAAATCAAAAGATGACCCTGTTCCCAGAGAAAGGGGACTGACGTGGAGGCATCAAAGCAAGAGATACTCAGCAGAGAACTTAAAGTCGGAATTGGTGAAGGGGGGTAAGTCCTCTTCCCCTAACAATGCGATGTGGCGCTGGATCCCATGAGACTTGGGTAGAAAATCAATGAAGGGTGGAGTAGCAGGAGGGAGTCTCTCAGATGCTCATGGGAAAAGTGTTTATTGAAAAACATAAATTAGAATTATTACCATAATGCAATTTTTAATTAAAAGTGACACAAAGTCGATTCTCTTTTTGTTAAAAGTTAAAAATGCATCTTTGTCTTGAGATCTGGACTGTAACAAACACTTGAGGGTAGAAAATAAGTGATTCTTTCCTTACACTCCTGAGGTTTTTTTTTTAAAAACTCATCGAATTTGACATTGTTGTTGTATCTTTAGGTTCTGTTTCCTGGGCTGTGGATTAGCAGATCTCCTACCCTTATATTCTCAGGAGCAGAATAAGCCTTTAGTTTTTAATATATCCATTGATATATCTTCACTCTAAAAGATTAAATTATACAAAAGAAAGGGAATGGCTAGAGGACATTGCTTATAGTAGTAAAGCAGATTTTTTTTTTTAATGTTGCCCTCAGCTTATCATTTTAGGAATAATCAAGCAAAGAATGAAACAGCATTCATAAGCTTTGCAAGTTTGCTACCATTTGGTAGAATACGAAATCCAATATCTATTCATTTTCCCAAGTTAGATCTTACAAGTGGATATGAAAGTGATTTTCGAAATTACGCTGGCTTTAAGGAAATGAGACTTTTATGCAGTTAAGCTTTTTTTTTTTTTTTTTTTAATTTTCTAGAGGCATGTCTTATTTATTTATTTATTATTTGTTTGTTTGTTTGGTTTATACATGCACTGGGTACAGTCAGAAGTGTGGGAGGGTGAGAGAATTCACCAGAGCCAGAGCGGGGAGCAGAGCAGGCAGAAGGACCGAAGTACACTGCTGAGGGGAGCAGCGGGCGGCAGGAGAGGTCTGCGCGCCATGTGGGACCCTCCTCTGGTGGCCGGGGAGCAGCCGGGGATCGAACCGGCTGCAGAGGCTGCAGGCAGCTTCGCAACCCAGCGCTCAACCGCTGCGCCACCGGGGAGGCCCTATGCAGTTAAGCTTTAAACCTAAGCATTCTGGTCTGACCCCTGAGGCTTCCGAGGGGACGTTCCTAGTTCTTTTGGCCTGAAATCCTAGGATTGAATTGGTTCAAGTGCAGCTCTCTCCTGTTCATCCTTGTGTGTGGTGAATATTTATGCACAGACTTAATGTGTTGGGTTTTGTTTTATTTTGTTGGCTGTCCTCTCTGTTAAGTCTCTTTTCTACTATAACTGTCCTTTTACCCACAACCCTCTTGTTTCCTCATGCTGTTGATTTGTCGGAGATAGGAGGTCAGTTGGCTGGAAGAAGAGCCCACAACCTGGATTTAGCTGATCGATTCCTCTTACCATCTTTTACCTTTGGTCCTCCATCCCCTGCATTTCCTATAAACATGTAGTTAGATCTGGAGGCTTGATTAGATTCGATTCAGATTCCTTCCCCCTGTCCCCCCCAAGAATAATTGAGGAGCAATAGTGTGTTAAGCCTTAACTTTTTAAGGAAGCATAATTTCTTAATATAGTTCTGTTGATCTTTTTTTCCCTAAAAACATCACTAGGCAGGGGTGATGGTTCTCAAGGATTGCAGCAAGATGCATTTTCAATGCCAAGAAGAATCAGGCACTTAAGCAGCTCCTGTATTAGCCTGTGAATCAAAGATGGAGAGAGAAGAGGACTCGATGGGTAAATTCCATTTTATGGATTCAGAGGAGTTTGACATTTTCTCAAGGTGCTTCCATTTCATTCCCTAGCTCTGATGAACTCTGCAAAGGTGAGAAGACAGAAGTGAAGGTTGAGATGCCCACCTGGCCAATAACTCGAAGTAGGAAAGAGAGCATAGGTTGAGGGTTCTCTTTTTGCATATTTACATCCATGCAAATTGTCTTCAAAAGTCCCCCCCACCTTTTATTATTTTACCTCTTCTGTTGATAAGGGATTTCAGGCCAGCTCTGGTTTTCCTCATCTGTAAAACCTCAATTCCTTTTTATTAATCTTCTTGTGCCTGTGGAATATCAAAATTAATCATTTCTAAAGAAGCTACTCTTCAAACATTAAGTTTTTCTGGGCCAAACCTCAGTGTACAAGATTTTAGCATGAAGAGGCTTCATAATTTGTGTTATATGAGGGACATTTTTCTCTTTTTGCAAACTTCCTAAGGACACGTGTTTATGTATTTTAAAGCTGTCTAGGAAAAGCAGACTTTCTCAGGATACATTTTTATGCATTTTAAAGCTGTTTAGGAGAATGTGCAGCCCAAGCCACCGCCAAAAATGAAGTCAGGAGATGTGTGCTCTGCTAATACCTACTTCTGCTTAGTTTATTTTTCCAGTTAGGTAGAAAGCAGGTTGTTTTTTTGGGGGGGTGGGGAGGGAGGTGAGAGAGTAAAATTGTGCTAGGTTTGACTATGTAGTTGCGTATAAGCAGGCCACTTTCATCGGTTCACCTTGCACCTTCCTTATACTGAAATGCATATTGTGCCTCAGAGCAGATGCCGAAGGGGGCTGACGAGGGATGACTTTGAATTTGTTCCTCCTCACTGTCCCCACTCTCTTGTCCTAACACTCCTATTAGATTTTTTTTTTTTTTAAGATTTATTTATTGGACCTCCCCTGGTGGCACAGCGGTTGAGCGCTGGGCTGTGAAGCTGCCCGCAGCCTCTGCAGCGCTGGTTCAATCCCCAGCCACCGGCGAGGGTCACACATGGTGCGACAGACCTCTCCTGTTGTGCCCGCTGCTCCCCTCAGCAGTGTCCTCCGTCTGTCTGCCTGTTCTGTTCCCCACTCTGGTGGTGAATTCTCTCACCTTCCTGCGCTTCTGACCGTACCCAGTGCTTGTATAAATAAATAAATCAATCTTTAAAAAAAAAAAGATTGATTTATTTATGCATACAAGAGCTGGGTTACAGACCAGAGATGTGGGCGGTGAGAGGATTCACCAGAGACAGAGTGGGGAACAGAACAGGCAGACTGACCGAAGTACATTGCTGAGGGGAGCAGTGGGCGGACTGCTTCATAGTGTGGTGCTTAACCCCTTGCACCACCAGGAAGGCCCACTCCTGTTAGATTTTTAAGTCTCCAACATGGCTAATTTCATTCACATTCCTGGAGAAAAGAGCTGGGAATCATTCAAGTGTCTTGATGACAGAACTGAGCCCAGAATGTGGTTATACCATCAGAATTGTCCCGCTAGTTCTGAAGGAAGACGAGCTGAACGGACCTGGACTCTTGCCATCTGTCTGACTTTTCTCAAAGATCTCAGTTTCTCCTTAAGCCTCAGTACCCTGCGCCATAAAATGGGGGTAATACTATTAAGTTATAGTTAACACATACAGAGGATGTACCAGGCATTGGCTTTACTCACTAAATCTCATTTGACCCTACAAAAGTCTGATTGGGGAGGGGGAGGTATGGTTATTTTCATTTTATGTGAAGCTAAGGTCTAGGAGGTTAAGTCATTTATTTAGGGTGCTTTTCCTTAATGACTCCTAGGGTTGTGCTAAGGATAAAAATAGCCATGTTTTACATATAGTTTATATATATATATATATATATATATATATATATATATAATTGTGTGTGTGTGTACACACACACATATTTTATATATGGTTGTCAATCACCAAGGTCATAAGAAATATACAAGAGATGTTTGTCCTTATTGGTTACCTATCGCATAGTAATGCTACAAAACATTTTGTTGGGATAAGGTTGCTGAGTGGTATTTAACTTTGTTCCACGTAATTCTCTCTTTGACTTTTAAGCAAAACTGTAAGGTAGGTTTTATTATAGCTTTATTTTAAAGATGATGACTCTCATTTATAGAGAGGTTTAGATAACCTATCAGTGACCACAGAGCAAATGACAGAAGTGGACCTTTGGATTAAGAACCTATGTTCTGATTAATCTAGAAATAGAAGATCAAATTTATTTAGCACTTTCAAGTGTATCTGTAAGAAACCCAATAGCTCCAATTTCTTTGATATGGTAGATGAAATATGATCCCCAAATGATATCCAGATACTAGTCCCTGGAACCTATGAATGTGGCAAAAAGGGCTTAGCAGATGTAATTAAGGATTTTAAGATGATGGATTATCCTGAATCATCTGAGCGGGGCCCTAAATATATAAATTACAGTCTTTAAAGGTGGAAGGTAGATGGGAGATTTGATTATGGAAGACTATTAGGAGAGATCATAAAGGAAGCAAGAGGTAGAAAGCAGGGACCATGGAATGTGAGATCTAGAAACTGAAAGGGAAGAGAGTGTCCCTTCAGCTTCCTGCTGCATCTTGACTTCAGCTCAGTGAGACTGATTTTGGACTCTGTATCTCCAGAATTCTAAGACAATCGATTTGTGTTGCTTTAAACCACCAACTTTATGCTAATTTGTTAGTACACTTGAATTTACTGTGTAGCACATATTTGACTTCAATGCTTTCAAGTGGGCAGTGAAATGTAGAGGAACACACCTGTGGACAAGAATTCTGGGTTTTGTATCAGCCTCATTGACCACCCCTGGCATACAGGTGTAGCATCTTTTCATGCTTTCAAGGGCTCCCACAGGTATATCTTAGTTTGTGGCTCTGCTTAAAGAAAAAGAACCAAATACATATTTTGACCAGTTTGACAAAGATGAAATAATTACCCTTTTGCCAGTAACCTGTAAATTCATGATAAGACAGGTTTCAGAAGATTTTAGTCTCAGTTTTCCAGTGGGAAAGAAACAAACAGTGGATTCTGGAAACCACAGAGCAGTCAGGTTAACATGAGTTCTGAAGAAAGTTATTAAGTTGATCTTTGGAAGCACATAGGGAAGAAAAATGGAGATCACTAGGAAGGAAGATGTGATAACCATATGTAAGGCAATGCCAACGTCTGTTTCTTTTTGTGGTAGAATTACTAGGCACCTGGTAGAAGGTCATTACAATAGTGAAGCTTTATTGCAAAAAGATATTTGATAGTTGTGTTTGATGCCCTTGCAGACAATATAGAGAATTGTGGGCTAAATACTTAAATAAATAATTTGTGCCTAGTTGAGCAACAAAACCAGAAGAGCTGTCCTGAGAGTCTTTATCAAGCCGGTGATTAATTGTTCAGGGCTCTGTGATTTCTCTATTTGGAAGGTGCATCTTTGATCCCAGAAATCTGTTCCCTAAGCTGGTAGCTCCTTGCTCTTTTTAGGATACCTTCTGGCTCCAGATCTCTAGGAATCCCACCCTCACTTCTAATTTAGTTAATCCACAGTGTAGTTCACTGGAAGATTTTAAGACTGGTCTCTCTTGGGGTAAAACTTTGTTTCTTTTGACCGTCTAGCAACAGGGTTTTAATAATGGCTCTTGTCCCAATGACAGCCACCATCTTCCTCTGTCTTTCTGTCTCAGATTGGTGACTTACACTCTATGGGACTGAATCCCATTCAAATCACTGATTCTCTGTGATGGCTTCCCTCAGGTTGACCATGGAGAGGCCTTCTAGAATTCTGCCATTTCCTGATACCAGAGAACAATCACATGCATTGTGATTATAATAGTTTCCAACAACAGAAGAAGATCCTTCTGGTTATGAATACAGAGAAAAGTTGCTTTTCAGATGTAGAGATAACAAGAAATGTGAAGGAAAGCAAATGTTTTTAGAAACCAAATCAAGAGTCAAAGAGATGTCAGCAGCTGGGAATGACTTGCTAAAAGAACTAGAATGGAATTTGAAGGATATACACGTAATACTGAACCACAGCTTCAAAAAATCAGGTCTTCAAGCTCAAGGTTGAGATACCAGCCTTAATTGCAGTTCATGCTGGGGTGGGGGTTGTAGGTTGGATACTTAATTTTACTGAGGAAGACCACTGTGCCCGAGTGCCAGGCAGTGATGTATTCTCAGGAGTGTCACTTGTAGTTTTCCGTGCAGATCAAGAGGGGAAGCCTTGGATCTTCTTTCCAGGCATTATGCCCTGGCAGCCTGCAGGCATAAGGAACTGTGTTGCATTTGACTAGCACAGACTTTGCAAATTTGGAATGGCATCCCTTTGGGTGAGGCATGCACTCTCCAGTCTTATGAACTTATGTTACCTCCCTGGTTTTAAATACTTACGTGTTTGTAGGCGGTCCTCACACCCTATTTCCTTATAAAAACACTCTCTGGGAACTCTAGGATCCAGCCTATGCCTGTATTTTGAAAGGGACTTAAAAAGGACCAATAAGAGCATGATTGGATAGTGTAGGAATTAGATGACAGTTCACAATGCAGTAGTTGAGAGTGCCACAACTCTGTAGTCTGGAGTGCTGCTTGGAGGATTGTCATGTGGAAGAGGAACTTGATTCAGTCCATTTTGGGAATGTTCATGGACGATGCACTTATGTCAGTCAATAAGTTGAGGTGGTATGGAAGGGAGCAAGTTGGCCTCTGTTCTCAAGGTCAAGTTTACCATATAACAGAGGAGATAGGAATACTCTCTGGTTCTCAGAAGACACAAGTGAGAAGGTAGATGTCAACTCTGTTTAGAAAGACCTTTCCTAACAATTACAGCTCTCCTCAGATGGACAGGGGCTGCCTTGACAGCTAGCCGCTAGTCATGTTGTCCACTTATGGAGGGAACTGTGAATGGTAGTTAGAGTAGATGACTTTTCTGCCTCTGTTGGTGCATAAAGTCAAGCCTATTAACTTGTCTCCTTTTACTTATCTAGAGAGAGTCACTATATTAAATGCTGAGGGTTATACTCAGTGTCCTGGGCAGTTGAGTTGTACATTTCTGGGGTGGAATTGTGTTTGTCTTAGGCAGATACAAGAACCGCCAGGCAGAGCAACAATCTTTCTTATTCATGAACTGCTAGAACGATCTAGTGGCATATTTGGCAGATTTAATCTTGTTGCTGGCTGCTGCTTTTGTTCCTTGGCTTCTCTCTTGCTGTGAGGATCATTCTCCACCCTCTTTTAAGGGGCAAAACACTTCATTTTCTGGGACAATTGTCCCAAGGAAAGTCTATTTCCTATGCCTCCTGCCTCCAGGAACCCAAAATAACATCTAGAACTTACCTGCCAAGATAAATTAGGGAGACTCCTAATTCTCCTTTTTTGATAAATTTTAAATAATTCCGATTTCTGTCGTGTCCCTAAAAATCCTTCAGCCCTAGAAAATGGATAAGTCACGTTTTGGCTGCAGGCAGATGGCAACACCAAGCAAAGGCAACCTTTTTACACAGCTTTTGAGCAAACTTTTCTGGCAACGCCACTCCTGTTCTCTCCTCCTTCCTCACATCACCATTGTCATCAAGTCTCACTTCCCCGCTGTCTGTGTAATTACAAGGAAGGCAGACACAACCTCTTTTTCTTGGCAAGTGTAATGTAAGGTTCAGTGGGGCAGATGCACTCTGAGTTTAATATTTCTTCCCAATTTTTTGTTTGTTTGACTCTGGTTTAGCTCTTTGGTAATCTCCACCCCCAACCCAGATAGGTCAAAAATCACTTCAAAGATGTGGAGACAGGTTGTCATAGGTTAGGGGGAGCAGAACCCCCACCCATCACCCCATACTGCCATGATTGTTCTGTACAAAGGAGTCAGGCAATTCTGTTTTAAAAAGCTTGGAGCCAGAACTAAATGTGAAACCCCACAGCTGCTGTGACACAGGGTGTGTGGACATTTTAGTGATCCTGGCAGACTCTCTTCCCTTCCAGGAATTCTCTCCCTTGGGTGACTGAGAGTTGAGCCAGCCCCAGGCTTTCCCCACACCTTCAGATGGAGTGGGCAGCTGAGCCAAGCTGCCTGCCTCTTGCACCTCCTCGTACCCCTGGAATCACTAGAGCAGCAGAGATGAGGGTGGAACTTCTCAGCCCTGACAGCCAGTTCATTTGCACCTGGAGGTTTAAAAAGCGCTGGTGCAGGGGCCCTACTCCCCAGAGGTGTTTATTTTAAAAACAGCTTTATATTTTTTTCATAGAGTCCATATATTTTCCTATACAGTTCACCCACGTCAGAGTGTGCAGTTCACTGGTTTTGAGCACAGTCACAGGGTTGTGTGACCTTTACCGCAGTTCTAGACATCTTCAGCAGTCACCCTCCATTCCTTCACAGCGCCCCACTCTGGTCAGCCAGGGGCCAGTCCACTTTCTGTCTCTAGCTCTTCCTGTTCAGCACATTGTGTATAAATGGAATCACGCCATAGGCGGACCTTTGCAGCTGACTGCTTCCACTTAGTGTACTTTTTCAGGGTTTGCCTGTATTATCATGTCTCAATACGTCGCTTTATTTTTTTTCACCAACTAATATTCCATTATATGAATATACTGTTTGTTTATCCATCAGTTGAGGGACATTGGGTTGATTCTGCCTTTTGGCTATTACAAATACTACTCTTCTTTAAAAAAAAAAAAAGATTTATTTTATTTATGCCTCCAAGAATTGGGGTATAGGCCAGAGATGTGGGTGGGGGAGTTAGAGGATTCACCAGAGACAGAGTGTGAAGATCTACTGAAATACACTGTTGAGGGGAGGGAGCAGTGGGTGAGACAGGAGAGATCTGCTGCTCCATGTGAGTTGCTCCCTGGCCAGGGATCAAACTCGTGCTGCAGTGGCTGCAGATAGATTCATAGTCCTGTGTTTAATCCCTTGCATCACCAGGGAGGACCACAAATACTCCTTTTAATTGATCACGTGTACAATTTTTTTTATACAAATTTTTGCGTAGATGAATGTTTTCCATTCTTTCGGGAATACTCCTAGAAGTGGAATTTGTGGCAACTTTATATCTAACCTCTTGAGGAGCTGCCACACATTCCAAAGCAGCTGTGCCATCTTACGGAGGCGTTTCATGAACGTTGCCATGGTGAGTCTAGATAGGATTACAATATGCTGCCTCTATGGATAAGAATCCTCACTCTGCCTCGATTGGAGGTTAAATAACCGCAGAACAGACATCAATTTTTTTACCTGAAGGACAGTATATTTTAGAGGAAAACATTCACCTGTTCCAGGTTCTTCTTCCCAACATCCCACATCCCTCAGCTCTCACTCTAGTCCAAGCTTAACTTCCACACCTTCTGGAGCATTAGTCAGTGTTTAGCCAAATGAGGATTACCCCGTGTCCATGTACAGGAAGGGTTGGCTGCAAAAAGTTAAGTTGATCTGGAAATGTGACAGGTAGGCTAAGCGGAGCAGGGCTGCAGATGTATAATCCCCACTTCTGAGGCTGTGACAACTCTTCTTGTAAGTGTCATCACTTCCTTGGTGCTATCTGATAAAAACTGAGTCATGAGGTGCTGACAAAAATCCTGAGCACTTAATGTGAAACTTGAGGCATCTGCTCATTCCTGAGATGTTTGCAGCTGTCAGCCCTGCTGCAGAGACGTAAACAACTCGCTGGGGAAGAAGTCTTGCCATGCTGCCTTTTTTGCTGCTCTGGGAGAGGCAGAGACCCAGAGGTGCCTGAGAGAATCTGAGTGTGAGGGAGGGCTGTGTGCAGGGCGGTGAAATGGGGATGGAGGAACCCCATGCTTCACAGATTCCTCTTCCAGTCGCCCCAGTGGAGGGAGGAAACAAACAACTATTGGCCTGTCCTGTGAGCTTTTAAAAAACATGGCTTCTGCTGCAGATGTGCATTTCCAGATGGGGCCTGTGAGCCACGCTGAATCTGTGCCCCCTTCTTTGTATTTGCAGCCACGGCACAGGGTACGAGAGCGATAACCACACAACACCCATCCTCTGTGGTGCCCAGTACAGAATACACACCCATGGCGTCTTCAGGGGCATTCAGGTGAGTACTCAGGACCCAGAGGGAAGTGGTCTTCACTGCCACTTCCCTTTCTCAACAGCCTTTCAGCTGCTTGCTGACGGCCATTTGGCCCTGACTGATGTGTCTGTCCCTGATTGTAGGTTTGTTTGACAGCATCACCCCTCCCCCCACCCGGGCAGGTAGGCTGGTCTCTTCTGCAGAGGCCACTTCCAGATTTAGACCAAGATGCTTGCTATAGAATTCCATCTTTTCTTTACTGCTCATTTGCCTTCTCCAGGGTGGCTGTGCAGCAATTGTTTTGGTGTTCTTTGGGCTCGAATTAATCCCTGACTTCTAAGAAGACTCGATTTGCATTGTAAAGTGCTCGAAGGTAGATTCTTATCTTGCTGAATGTTGCTAATCATAGCAGTAACAGCAGCACCACCTATGGCTGGACACTTTCTGTATGCCAGATGTGCTAAGTTTTTTTCATGCACTTTAGAAAATACGCTCCTTTATTTTTTTTTTTAGAACAGTTTTAAGTTTACAGAAAAATCACACTGAAAAGTACAGAGTTCCCATATTCTGCTTCTTCCCACTGCTCCCCTACTAGTCTCCCTTGCTACTGACATCTTGTTGGTAGGGTACGTTTGTTACAATTGATATGCAGCATCTATTCATTATTATAATTAAAGTCCATAGCTTATATTAGGATTCATTTTTCCTGTTAAGCAGTTGTGTACGTTTTGTGTCTCCCACTACAATATCATACACAATAGTTTCGTTGTCTAAAAATGCCCTGTACTTCACTTATTCATCCCTTGCTTTTTTTCCCCTTCCCCCTCAACAACTACAGATCTTTTCACTATCTCCATGGTTTGGTCTTTTTCCGGAATGTCATATAGTTGGAGTCATCAGGATGTAGCCCCAGCTGTCTGATTTCTTTCACTTAGCAACATGCATTTAAGCTTTTTCCATGTCTCTATTTTCTCTTCCTCTCCCCACCCCCCCCACCCATTCCATTTAACCCTCAGTTTGCCTCTCTGGGGTATGTGCTGTTACCATCTATATTTTATGGAGGAAATGCAAGCCCAGAGAAGGTGAGTGATTCACCTGAAATCACATAGCTAATAAGAGGTAGAGTGGAGATGTAACACATTGTTTTTAACCGGCACCTTACGCGGTTATACTACCACTTAAGGGAGAATGTGGCTGTGAACAGCTTGGGGAGGGGGCGGTCACCAAGAAGAGTGAAGAAAGTAAAGCAAAAAGGCAAACCCTTGGGAGAATCAGGGAACTCTGTGGAAGCCACCTCTGGAGAGCCTCTTTGGGGCAGCTAGGACCCCACGCAACCACCAGGGGTTGCTTTGCTGGTGTTTGCACATGACTTAGTGGCTGCAACATGAGTAACAGCTGTGATACTTTGACCAGAATACTCAGTATTCTAGAAATAAACTGAATGTGGGCAAGGCCCCCACGTGATGCGTGGGCCAAGTAGTTGCGAGATGTTCTGATTAATGTTTCCAGAAACTTCATGGGGCTAGAACACAGTGCTCCCTCAGCCCAAACTTTCCATTGGTGAGAAGGGAAGACAAAGATTACAAAGAGACAGAGATCTGGTGGGGTGCAGACAGTTACCCAGTCTCTCCTCCAGCAAATCCCATTAGAAACCCCGACCAGGATCCTGACTGACAGCCACGGCTTGGTTTTATACCTTGTTGTGTTGTGCACTGCATCTGGGATGGATTCAAGGAAATGAAAAAAGCTTCCCCTGCTCTCCTGTCCACTGAGTCCAGTTTGTCAGACTCACTGTCATGGCCTCAAACTCCATACCCAGCAGGGGTTGTTCCCTACCCACTCACTTCCTCCTGGGGACTCCAGACACACTGGCCCCCGTTGCAATGTGTGCCGCCTTTGCTTTGAGACAGTGTGCCTATGAACAGTAGTTGTATATCACGGTCACACTTTTTCTTCAAAAAGGAAGATCTCGCCGTGTAGGGTGTGAAACAGGAACGGGCACATAAGCACAGGGCGAGGGTGTGTGGAAAACGCACCGGGCAGGCAGCAGGTAATACTCAGAAGTGGCATTTGGTTCTCAACACAAAACATGGGTGTACTGTTTGGCCTTGACTGGCGCATCAGTAAGAGAAGGAGGGAGTTCAGTGGCCCAGTGGGCACATCCACTGCTCCCGCTTAAGACTCATCCATCCTGAGAGCAAGAAGGGAGGTTTGTCTCGCTATTTTCCTCTAGCTCCTTGGCATGGTGGACTGAGTGACTAGACACATGGCCATTTCCATAAGATGAAGGGAAGGGCCGGCAGCATACTGTGTGAGGGACGTGTAAAGTGGGCAGAAGACAAAAGCAGTGTTTTCTGGTGTTATTTAAGGATTGCCCTGGCCATCCTGGGGGCCTCTGGTGTTTTCAGCATCCTTCATAGAGAGAACCCCCAAATCTCCGGCTCCTTTCTTCTCATTTACTCACACATGGATGGTCTGGTCAGTTTGGGGCTCATTTAGTATCTTGACACTTTTTGTAGAAAGGACTTGCCCCCACCCATTGTAGATTGGCCCCAGGGCCTTGTGGCCATGTCTCTAAGTAGGAGGGAACAGCATAGAATCTGGGGCTTTGGACTACCACAGCTCACTGCTGAGAGATGGACACCAACATTTCTTTTCTACATTCTCTGGGTCAGCGACCCCAGAGGGACTTCCTCACAAGTGCTGGTTCTGGCGAGTCAGTAGTGATGGCGTTAGAGCACTGCATTGTAAGTGCCCTGACCTATCACCTGTTCTTTTATTTATTTATTTGTTTGTTTGTTTGTTTATTTATACAAGCACTGGGTACAGTCAGAAGCGCGGGAGGGTGAGAGAATTCACCAGAGCCAGAGCGGGGAGCAGAGCAGGCAGAAGGACCGAAGCACACTGCTGAGGGGAGCAGCGGGCGGCAGGAGAGGTCTGCGCACCATGTGGGACCCTCCTCTGGTGGCCGGGGAGCAGCCGGGGATCGAACCGGCGCCGCAGAGGCTGCGGGCAGATTCGCAACCCAGCGCTCAACCGCTGTGCCACTGGGGAGGCCCCATCACCTGTTCTTTATCTGCCATGAGCATCAGCGTGGAGGAGCGTGGTTCTAGGCCTTGTAGCTGGCCGCCATCCCTCTTTGGGGTGTAGCCTAATATTCACAGTCCCCCAGGACCAAGGTGGCATGTAGCCTGCATTTCTCCTTGCTCTGTTTATAGGATGTGCGGCGCGTGCCGGGAGTGGCCCCAACTCTTGTCCGGTCAGCATCTGAGACCAGTGAGAAACGCCCCTTCATGTGTGCTTACCCGGGCTGCAATAAGAGATATTTTAAGCTGTCCCACTTACAGATGCACAGCCGGAAGCATACTGGTAAGTGTGTCCCCGGGCCAGCCTCGGCGCTGGCGGCCTCTGGGCAGGGGTGGGTCAGGAGCTCCTGGTCCTGGGCCGGCTCTCACACCCCTAGGGACAGGTAACCAACCATATGGAGAAATGATGTATAGGTTTAATTTTTGTTTTCAGAGAAGAGATAATTTTTAATGATGTGCCAGAAAAAAAGAACAAAAACTATTTCCCAACAAATTAAGGGTCTACTCTTGAAAAGAGAGATTGGCCTGGTCTTCCTGTTGGTCACTGTGCATGTTAACAGCCATTTCGCTTTTTTCTTTTTTGACCCCGTGGGTACTAGTTGGGAGTGGGAAGCAGGTTTTCCTACAGGGGTGCTGGTGCTATTCTCTCTACCACAGAAGGATAACATCATTGTTATGATTCCACTATTACTTTATTGTTGCTGTTGACTTCACTTTGCGGAAACTGAAGAAGAAATCAGATCTCTTTAGACCCTTGGGCTTTGCTACATCACTGTGTCTAGAGGCTGCATTTTGGTGTAAACCTGAGTTTGCGATCAGTAGATCACATGCTTTTGGGGAGAAAGGTGAGAGAACTAGTAGCATGGTGCATTTTTGCATATTTGCCCAATTGGGATCACTTGAAAAATATTTGTTAAAATTATACGGGAAAAGGTTAATTCTGTCTGGAAGAATGCAGGGGAATACAACGAAAGAAATATAGTCATATAAACTCTTCATTGAAAGAGGCCCTTAGAAAGCAGTGATAGCAAGAAGTCTGTGTAAAGCACGGCTTTGGGCCAGCTAGCCAAGACCCCCAATCCACAGGAGCTTGCAAGAAGCTCTCCTGAGCAGAAAATGAGGACAGACTGGTATTTGATAGGCTGGTATTTAACAATTCTATAACTTCCTTCTTGAAAGAGTATCATCTTTCCTTATTTAGGCTATTACATTAAATACTTTCATATTAAATATGTCCTATGTGCCACATTCTCTGCAAGCACTATTTTATTTAATCCCCACGCATAAAGCAGTTATCAGGTGGGTAGGATGCAGTGGAAGCAGGACTCAAATTCAGGTCTTTTAATTCCAAGTCACAATCCCCCTTCTTCAAGAGTTCATGGTCTGTTTTGGAGTTTGGATAGACAAAATGAAAAAAGAGCTAAGATTGGAGGCTGGAGGACCAGAGCAGTTAGAGAGTATTGAATTGGGATCATCCCTGGAGTCTTCTTGGAGGAGGAATGGCTTGGGTTAGCCATCAGAAGGTTGTAAGGTTGGTCAGGGGAAGTAGAGGAGAAGCAGAAGTAGAAAGACAGTGAAAAATAATTAAACCCAATAGGGAGTATTGAAGCATAAGACACTGGACTGGATAGAAATAGGAAGTTCAGGAAAGGCTCCTGCCCTCAGGGTTTTCCAGCTCATGGAAGAAGGCAGACCTGGTCACAGCTCTATCATATTAGCGGTTCTACAATAAAGTCTGTGTTGAGAGAAGGAAGGGCTTGAAATCTGAACATGAAGTTTCCAAGAAGACTTCACTAAAGAAGTGTAATTTATGAAGCATGTACAGTAGACTTTTTGACTGGTAAGAATGTGGACATAAGGACAAAGGGCATTTGGTGGGAGCCTAATGCAAGGCAGACTTCGGGAATGGTAAGCTCGGGTATAGCAGTAATTCAGATTAACCAGGGACAGAGGAAGTTGTGAGTCTTCAAAGTTAACTAGGGACTGCCCTGTCATAGAAGGACCCGACTGCTCCTCAGATGACTTGCTCTCCATCCCAGAATGCCGTGACTCAGAATTCTCATCAGAAGGAGAGAAGGCTCTAGAAGTACAGTGTAGTCATGGGGCTGAGTTCCCAGCATTTGGCTGAACTTGGTCTAGTGAGGACAGGGGTGGGGCTTCCCCAATGGGAGGAAGGAGGTTGTATAATCCCACTGCTGAAACTTCTCTTGGATAAAGGGATACTGAAAAGTTCTTAAATGCTTTGACTTCCGGTTTCATTTACGCATCTCATAAACATGGGGCTGCTTGTGCTTGACTCAGGAATGTGAGAAGTTCATAGCAGAGAACACCAAACCTTTAAATCACAAAACACAACACACTTATTTCATGGGGTTGACACCAAGCCACATTCATTCCAGAATTACACCTCCAACTCAGCGTAGGCTGGGTTGACTTCTTTGGCTTATTATTTGTGTAAATATCCTCTGCCAATGTTTTATTTTGTGCAAGACACTGGGATAAGTAAGCCCTTGATGTAGAGGGTCTGGTTTAATCTTTTCCTAATTCCTTGGAAGTTGTCAGTTTATTTGTCCTGTTTCACAGTAACGGAAGTGTCCCTTACGTCAAATTTTAAATGGTAGAGTTGCATGTGACCCTCGTGTCAGACTGCAGAACCTAACTGGGAATTTAGGAATCATCCTAATACACTTAGCCCCCCATTCTATGCCCACTGTCCGTGAGCCTATGTGCAGGTGCGTCTTTAACCTCAACTGTGATGGCCACAACACCCAAAGAGCTTTGCCGAAGTGCCTCATACTTTTTGGGAGCCCTTCAGTCTCTGTAGGGGATGTTTCCTTGAATGATATCCCCACTTCTAGTATCATTTTCAAATGGAATATGTGTCTTCCCCAAGGTGAGAAACCATACCAGTGTGACTTCAAGGACTGTGAGCGAAGGTTTTCTCGTTCAGACCAGCTCAAAAGACACCAAAGGAGACACACAGGTTTGTAGGCTAACTTCTCATTGCTGGCAGTATGTCCCCTGGGGTTACACTTGAGGTTTGGATTCTCTTTTGTAGTTGAATGTGGATGTGAGTGTCAGCCATTTGTTTCTTTTTTTTTTCCCCTTTAATTCCCTCCCTGCCCACCTCCATCTTGGGGGAGTTTGTTCTCTTTGAACAAGAGAGAGGGCAACGAAAAGCAAATAGTTTACATTTTTCCTACAAACCAGAGCGGTGAGATCCAGATAGCAATTTGCTGTTGAAACACCAGGCGTTAGAAAGGAACATGGGTGGTGGAGAGCAAATCTGATGTGTAGCCTGTGATTCCATTTTTCAGTCTCAGACCCAGCTGAGATGTTGGTGAGAACCTGGGCATTTCTGGTAAAGGAATCAATTGTTCCTGAGACCGAAGCAGATCTTTAAGGGTTCCTTGCAGGATCAGGTGGTTTGTGCTGACCTGGGGTACTGAGGAAATCTGGGGAAGAAGCAGATGTTGCAGACCTGGCTGGAAATGCCCGCCTCTCGAGCCACCAACAATCAGGCCTGGTGGGCCTCGCTCCACCCCCGGGTTGTTAGGACTGCGGCGAGACCTTCTCTGTCCGTTTAGGTGTGAAACCATTCCAGTGTAAAACTTGTCAGCGAAAGTTCTCCCGGTCCGACCACCTGAAGACCCACACCAGGACTCATACAGGTAAAACAAGTGCGTAAACTTTTCTTCACATTTATTTTTCATTATTTTTTTAAACTACTGTTGAATGAGGTTGTTTGTGATGTGTGAGCTAGAAAAGGCTACGGTGAAAGTTCTAAACAGGGGTAGACTCATTTGAGAGAAAGAACAGGTGCATGGCTATCTTGAAATAATAAGATTGTTTAGAAGGGATGGGGGCCGGGTGGTAGGACTATAGAGGAAGGAGATGTGAAAAGAACTCTTTTCATGAGTGTCCAGAAGAAAAATGAAGCGATAAATTAGGTCCCTCCTGTTCCCAGATTGTTGAACCACATTTTTATCACTCAGTTTGATATGATAATCAACCTTTCAGAAAAACAGCAGAAATTTCAGCAAGCCAAACAGTTATTCTTCTGAGAGTTCACATTTCATGAAACTGTTTTCAGAGACTTGAATCCTTACTCAGCTAGAAATTAAAGTCCCAGGAGCAGGTTTCTGTCAGTCTCCTCTCAGCATGTGGATAATATGTCTTCATATTAGTGTAGGGAAGGGAATAGGAGATGTGTTCTCAGGCTGATGTCATTCCTAATGAAAATAATACCACCTTGGTTGTGCTGTTTCTAATGTTGGAAGGACCAGGGTTTAGGTTATCTCGTTTTTATCTTTCCTACATCCTTGTGAGAAGAGTAGGATAGGCTTGTTTTATCCCCATTTTACAGATGAGGAGACCGAGGCACGTAGTGATGAAAAAATGATTGATCTGAAGTCCCAAAGCTAGTAAGTAGCAAACCCAGTTCTGTCTGCTCCCAGCTCTCCATACCCAACTGCCTTCTGTGTTGGAGAAAAAGCATGGCTTCACCTTGCAGCCCAGGGAGGAAAGAGAATCAAGAACAGAGCCAAGTCAGGAAAGTTGAAAACCATGGAGTGACTGAGAAGAATGAAGCTTGACAAGAGAAAGGGTTGGGGTTTGTCCATTAGGAAATGTCCTTGGACATCATGGCTGGAGGTGGGGGCTGGGGGAGCAGGTGCATATCGGGAAGAGCAGAGGAGCAGCAGTGGGGGGGTAAAGAAAATCATGAGTTCATGAGCCCATGCAGTCTCATCTCAGCCCAAACAGGCTGCACTCACAGAGCTAAGGCACCTGTGGCCCAGAGTTGGCAGCATGGACATCTTATTCCCCCTGCTCAGGTGCCATTGGCGTTGCTTCTATGCCTTAGTAATGAACTCATAAATTGGTGGGGAAAGTTAGGTCCTTTGTACCCTACCCCCACAATGTGCATAGCTGCATATTCATGAAATGAATGGTGTCCCGGGTAGACTGTCTAATGCTACATTATATTTGCTTGACCCCAACATCTGACCTCCTCTGGGGCATTTCTCAGTGCTTGTCTCAACTAATAGTTTTCAGAGAAGGCAGAGTGGGGCCAGCAGTTTCCTGAGAAGATGCCCCAGCTGGTCATTTTTTTTTTTTTAACTTAGGATAAAGCCACAGCTGTATTTCCATTATGGCTGGGTCCAGAGGCGGGATAGTGCAAAGTGCAGGCTTTGGAATTAGACCTGGATTGGAATCCTGCCTGTTTTCCACTCACCACATGTGCAGCCTCAGCTGTAGAGTGGGGATGTGCTGCCTCCCTTACATGGCTGTTGTCAGGAGTATCATTTCCCAGGAGTGATCTAGATAACACCCTGCACAAGGCTTGACTGAGATTAGACATTTAATATATATTAATTTATCTTCCCTATACAGAATGAGGCTTGGAAGGAACTTTCGAGAGCTGTTCCATCTTTTGGCAAGCTTATTAAAAGCTTGCCTCAACTAGAATCTTCTGTATAATAGGGCTTATGTTCTGATAAACATTTGAAGGTAAAAGAAGCCAATACCATATAAACTGGTAACAGTGATTTATTTAAAAATACCAGCCCTTCAAGAAAATCTATACAGGCAGAACTACTATAGCTCTAGTCACAGCTCTAGTCACAGCTCTAGCCCCAGATGAGGATCCAGCCATCGTAGAAACCGGGGTGGTGACCCGAGGCCTCATAGCCTAGTGAAGCTCAACTCAGATGGCAGAAGAGTCTTAACCACAGCAGTTAAAACAACTTTCCCCCCTCCCCTAACTAAACACGAATTACGGAGGCATTTCCCTCCCCTCCACCCATTCCTCTCTCATTGCCCTGAGTTTTCGAACTTAAAATTAATTTTATCGTTTTTACAATATGTCAGTCTTTAAGGCCCTGCCATTTCCAGACTGCCCTGTAAAAATAGCCTGGTTTGTAGTGTAGGGAAAGAAGTTGAGGGGGTCTGGAGCGGGTGTTTGGTGTTAAGTTAACTTGGGCCTTTGCTAGTTAAACTTGCGCCCGCGCTCTCTGCTTCCAGTGTCTCTGACCTGCAATTGTGTCAACAGGTGAAAAACCCTTCAGCTGCCGATGGCCCAGTTGTCAGAAGAAGTTTGCCCGGTCAGACGAATTAGTCCGCCACCACAACATGCACCAGAGAAACATGACCAAGCTGCAGCTGGCGCTCTGAGGGCTCCGAGCCGGGCCAGCTGTGCGTCCCAGCGGCAGCGTGCAAGCTGCTTCCAGACCGGACTTTGAAATTCCTCCTCCCTTGCCTCTCTAAGGAGGATGTGGCCGTTGATCTTCTTCACCCAATTTCCAAGACAAGATGCCTGTCCTACTGGATCCTACCAGGTCTGCCGCAGGAGCTGACTCACAGGCCCTGGGGGAATGGCTAACAGTGTCCGGTTAGTTAAAAGCCCATCGATCGATCGCCATTTGGTCTGCATTTTCCACTGTAAAAGAGCTGTTGTTGATAATGTGCCCCTCCCCGCCCCCCTTACGCTCATTCTCACTAGGAATGGAGTCATCGTCCCATTTTCCATCATAGAATATTTATAGGCCAGGGCATGTGTATGTGTCTGCTAATGTAAACTTCGTCATGGTCTCCATTTACTAACAGCAACAGCAAGAAATAAATCAGAGAGCAAGGCACGGGGGTGAGTCCCGTCTGACACGCCGGCTGTTAGGCAGGCTGCTAACCTGGAAGGCAGGATGTAGCACAAGCAGGCAACCTTTCAAACCCTTGCGTTTCAAGCAGCTGAAAAAAGAATCAGAACTAACCAGTACCTCTGTAGTGAAATCTCAGAATCTTCCCTTCAGCTAGTGCCACGTTAACCTTAGCACCATGCTCTTAAGAAACTGTGCTTGAAGACAGATCTGAGGTTTTGTTTCTGTGTATGTTTTTGACTTTCTGAGTTGTAATCACACGCATCTTCAGAGATGTCCCTCTCCCCTCACACAAAGGGAGCAGAACTCATGTTCATCTGGGGTGTCCTTGGGTATACAGACTCCACTGGTTCTATGGCTTCAAGTTGTAAAAATTAAAGTGACTGAAAATAAAAAAAGGGGCCGGTCCAGGATTTCCACTGATAAGACTGTTCTTAAGTAACTTAAGTAACTTTGGGTCTACAATATATGTGAAAAAAATGAGACTGATTACTGTGAGGAAATCCATTGTTTAAAGGTGGGTGGTTGGGTGTGTATGTGTGTGGTTTTTTTTTTTTTTTTTTTTTTTTTTTTTAAAGGGAGGGAGTTTATTATTTACTGTTGCTTGAAGTTACTGTGTAAATATATATATATGACAATGATTTGCTCTTTGACAACTAAAATTAGGAAATGTATACATGTTTAGATGCATCACTGTTTTGGTGTTGATCTTACAACGTATTGATGAAAACACTAAAAATGTAACCGGCATTTTTCACTTCGCTCTCAATTAAAATCTATTCAAAAGGAAAGTGGCCAGATTCTATCAGCTGTATTGTTCAGATCTTGAGGACTAATTGAACCTCTAATTTTAAACAGGTAAGAAGATGCCACTGATGTTGATAGCCAGCCTGGTCAAAGTTTTCCTTGTTCTTTTTTTTTTTTAAAGATTTATTTTATTTATTTATACAAGAACCAGGGTACAGGCCAGATTGGCGGGAGGGTGAGAGGATTCACCAGAGACAGAGCGGGGAACAGAACAGACAGACTGACGAAACACACTGCTGAGGGGAGCAGAGAGCGAGACAGGAGAGGTCTGCCGCGCCATGTGGGACCCTCGCCGGCCTGCGGGGATCGAACCCGTGCTGCAGAGACTGCGGACAGCTTCACAGTGTGGTGCTCAACTGCCTGCACCACCAGGGAGGCCCAAGTTTTCCATGTTCTGACCTCTATTTATATCTCTGTCCCTCTTCGGGTGGCCATGATCCAGCCGAGAAGCAGCCAGTGCTGATTCACGTCTAATCATAAAGGATCGTCCTCTGCTGTGTTTGGATGGTCTGTGGATGATGACATGGTGGGAATTGTGCATTAGGATCTGTTTTTATCTGGCCCTGCACCCCACCCCTTCTTATTCTAACTCACCAAAAGAGACTGGGGAGATGCTAATGCTAACTGGTGTTGCTTGAAAAGGTCACAGGTACAAGCTGGGGTCAGGAGAGTGGAAGATGAACACCTCGTACAGCAGAATTTACAGCCATAGTTACCGTAGTTGCTGTAAATCAGCTCAGCTAGTTGAAAACAACTTGGTCTTTTCCGGGGCAGCTGAGTGTGAAAGCAAAGATAGGCATTATAAACTCTCAACTCATTTTCTGGTTCTGGTGCATAGTTTCACAGTTGTAAATAAGGAGACTCCTGTGGTGCTACCCTCCCAGTTCCATTACCATGGCGCATGCGTGCGTTCCGGATTTCACTTCTTCATTTAGAATACATCCAGAGTGGGCTGCAGCTCCACCACAGAGGCTCTTTTCTGCTTTGGAGAGCAGCTCAAAGTCAGGTCCTGAGGCCCCTCTTGGTTTGCATCTGGCTCTTGGATCACTGTTAATTATAGTGAGTGTGGTGACTCATTTGTATCAGCCGTTTTTATCTTTTCCTGCCAGAAGACAGCATTTCTCTGGAGAAGCTCAGGACAAGCATGGCAAACGTCAGTGAGTAAGAGGCAGCCAGGTTTCACAACAAGCAAAGCCACATTGTTTCAGTTGCATGAAGAAAACAACAGATTCTCCCATTACCCTAGCAGTTCAGCTGCCATTAAGGTTAAGGGCTTTGGAAAACAGACTAACCTGGGTCCAAATCCAAACCCCCCCCCTCCCCAGTTTCTTCATCTCTGAAGTGGGGACACAAGAATCCCTGCCTGATAGGGTCATGGCTTGGATTAAATGATAACAAGGAAAGCATGAGGACGTGTAGAACATAGCAAGAGCTAAATAGGCATCATGTAGGCGTGCACTGCTGGTTTCCTTTCCTCTCACTCCCCCAGGCGTCCTCTTGCCTGGTCCAGCCTCTTCACAGGTCAGTTCTGCAAAAAAGACAAACCTATTTCCTTCTACCCCAAACCAGAGTTAGTGAAAATGGGTGGGTGGGGGCTGCCTTGTAGCCCAGGATACTCAAGGAAGTGCAATTGTCAAATGTGCATTTTTTTTTTCATCTTGATTTGCTACAGTGTCTGGTTTGATGTCTTTGAAAAGGCCACTTCTGCCCCCTCTGAGACTCAGTGAAGGGAAGTAGGTGAAGCAGGGCTTGGTCTTGGTGTTCTGTATCCACATTTCCTATCAAATTGTGCTTGGTGATGTCCACTTGAGCTCTGTCCCATTGCTTCATAGCTGTAAATCCTCTCTTCTTAGCCAAGTGTGCACTTCTAGAGGAAAGAATCATATCTCCCTTTCTTGTGTTACATCTAGGCTTTGCAACCTTTAACGTCTGTTCACCTGAGAAATTTGTTAAAGTGCTGATTCAGATACGAAAGTTCTGGGGCAGGAGCTAAAATTCTGCCTTTGTAACAACTTCCAGGTGATTCCCCTCCTGCTGGGCTGTAGGCACTTTACATAGCAAGGACTTAAAGGATCAGCTTAATAAATACTTGCTGAGAGGAGACTGATGAGATTTGCACTTGACCGTCCTGGGGCTGCCCTGAGTCCTTTATCCCCTTCAGAGTGGCCGGTGAAGATGGCCCAGGTTCTGCTGAGAGGGTCCCTGGGACTCTGGGTCGGAATATTCTTCCTGAACGCAGTGGGAAGAACTGCATGGGTTAGCCCAGGTGAAGCACCCTTGAGGAGTCTGCCCCACCCTGTCAGTGACTAGCGGGGTGATTGCCCCAGGTGAGCTCAGGTGTGGTGCATAGTCACACCTGCATAGCTAGTTCTTGCCTCTCCTGCAGTTCCCATTTGACAACAGGTCTCTACCTTCCTGTTCTGTTTTGTCGCACCTACAAATGATAATCTTGTGACTGTGGAGAGGATTTATTTCCTGTGAGCCAGAAGACTTGAAGGCAGGTAGGCTTTCACATCCTTCCCCTACTAGGAACCACTTGTTTGGCTCTCGTGGGTACTGGAGGGCAGTGGCTATCGCTCTCAGAGCCCTGGCCTCCTGCGGGGCATTGCACCTCTGATCTTGGACTAGGAGATGTGTCAGCAAAGGGGTGTGTGCGTGTGCGTGTGTAACAGTAGTTCTCAGTTGAGGGCACTTTTGTACCTCTGATCTTGGACTAGGAGATGTGTCAGCAAAGGGGGTGTGTGTGTGTGTAACAGTAGTTCTCAACTGAGGGCACTTTTCTCCAAAGCCTCAAAGCAGGCCGAGTGGCTTATAACAGTGTCTTTCCATAATGTGTATGAATCGCAAGGGAAAAAAATCACCAAGCAAATATGGCCTTGGTCTTTTTCATTTAATTATTTGTGCCTTGTGACCATTTTATTTATCAAGTGATTGCAATCTGTGCAAAACTTAAATGATTGTGATGATGACGACTACACCTGGTTCAATTTCTTATGCCAAGAAAGTAGCTACTGTAGTGGAGAACTTTTTCTCCAATGTTCAAGCAAAATCCTGATTCTGTGAGTTCTCAGAACGGCCTTGAGAAGGGAAGAGAGCCAGAGAACACAGAAAGGGTTGAAACTCACCCGACCAGCTAGTGGACAGCAATACCCAGTCACAACCTCCCAAATGAGACCGGGGTTCAGAGGCTGGTGAGGGGACTTAGATTCTGGAAAGTTAGTGCCTTTTTCAGGACAGACTGAAAACCTTCCAGCACTGAGTGGGACTCTCAGACAGAAATCTCAGATGTGAGCAGCTAAGGTGGACCAAATTAGCAAATGTGGATTTAAGAGATAACAAGATATTTTTATGGAGCCAGGGAGGATTGCAAGGATGGTCCATGGGGAGGGGGCTGAGATAAATGTAGACAGTGGGTTGTGGAAACAAGTAGCTTTTCCCCCTGCAGAGAGTCCCAGGAGCATCGGTGATGTTGACATGGGGTGAGAAGGATTGCCTGACACGGCGGGGATGCTGAGGGCCACTGAGGAGGCCTTGCAGGAGAGGAAGGAGAGATGGCAAAAGGGAGACAACTCTGGGAAGAAAGATGAGACAGATGAGGAATGGAATACGGATGTCAGGGGGTCTGCAGGAAGAGGGGGCCTCTGTCTGACAGGGTCTGACCCCCACATGAACCTGCACCAGCCCTGTGAGGCGCACACAGGGCGCTCCCAAATAAGAGACACTCAAGCGTTAACATTCTGATCACGAGTGTGGGCGCCCTTTATTGGATTTTGTGTGCAGGCAGTGCCATTTTTTAGATGCATTCCCAGTGAGAATGATCCCCATTTTACAGATAAACACGGTGGAGGTTTTGAACCAACTCTGACTTGTCCCCTGTTTTCCACCCCTGCTTGACGGCTCTGTCTCCCCATCCTGGGGCATGTTGGCTGCAGTGATGCCCTACCCATTTGGTTGCCTAGATACCAGGAATATTTGTCAAATACACAGGGAAAGAATAAGCCTGGATGGCAAAAAGTTCCCTTTGCCCATATCCAGTTGTGGAGCCTGTTTGTGAAATGTTTTCATTCAGCATTTTATACTAAGTACCGGAACTCAAGAAATGACATGGTATAATGTCAGCCGGATAATGATAAAAAGGGAAACACAGAGAAACACATTTAAAAGTTCAAGGTTAATGAGTACTTTTAAAAGGCAGCATCCTGCTTTCCCAAGAAGCACCATGTCAGAGGGAGCAGGCTGAGGGGGAAGCTGTTGGTCTGTGGTGATGGTGGGGTGGGGGTGTCTTACAGATCAGTCCCATGGATAGGACTGCGGCCTCCTCTCAGCAGGCAGCCTCCAGTTTTCTGAGATCTCTCAGCTATCTCTGAGCTCTTGCATGCAAATAAAGGCAGCCAGGGAGACAGTCACAGATGTCTCCTGTCCCAGTTTTTCTGAGGTCTAAAAATACAAGCACCCAAGTCAGTACCCTTTACCACTCACTGGGGGCACAGCCTGCCCTCCAGCTCTGATCCCAGCAACCTTTCCCCTAGCAGAGATGAGGGTGCTGTGGAGGGGCATCAGGACTGATGGAGATCCGTGGAGGAAGAGACTGGTGGGGACGTACACTAGCCTCTGGCCCCTGGCCCCCGGCCTCCCACACAGGCCAGGGCCTTCATCCGGGTCCCAGACTGAGTGAGGCAGAGTTGATCTCTTCTTATAGTCTTGCCTTTGCATTCACTCATTGCATGGGCAACACAACCATGTTCTGAGGATTTCTGATGCTGCCTGTGAAGACAAGCTGCCACCATTTTTAGGAACTTCTAGGACCTGGGAGAAGCAGCTGAGGAGGTATGAATTTTGGAAAACCTCTCCTTTCCATAATCTGTAATAATCTGACAAATGGGAAGACACATGGTTGTTTGCTGAAACAGCTTCTGGCCAGTGTCTTCACTGGCCTCTCATAGGAACAGCCTAGGAAGGACCAGAACTAGTGAGGATTACTGGAAGAGCCATGGAGTGGACATTTCCTCCCAGAGGCAGGACTATGTGAGCAGCATGACACCGTAACTAAGCACAAGCAATTCCAGTCATCCACACCC